CATTGGTCGGTGCTTGGGGGCGGGGCCGGCCGGGAGACAGGCCTGCGGGCTGGCGTCGCAGGGCAGGGGGCCCGGGACTCAGCATTCCTTTGTGACCGTCGGGGAAACTGAGCCTTGAGCTCCTGGACCATAGTGGGGGGAGGCGCGCCTGGGAGCCACGCTCATTGCTACTGGAGAGGAAACCGAGGCGGTGGGCTTGGGATTTCGGGAGGGTTAGTGGCTCCTCCCAAGCCAACGTCGGTGGATTGAGGGCTGGGGCTGGGATGTGCGCGAAGCCCAGCCCGTTGGGGGGGACGAGGAACTGAGGACCGCTGCCACGGCCCTGGAGGATCCGAGGGGAGCAGTTCCTAGTAGGTGGGTTTCAAAAATGGCCAAGCCGGTGCAGTCTCTAAAGGGTTAAGTCCACATCGCGGTCGCCCTTTGCTAATGCCATGATTGGGCCTCTTCGGAGCCCGCCGACCAATTACGAGCGGGCCGTTTTAGCTGGAACCAATCGGCGGCAGAAGCCGGAGTTTTCTCAAGCCAATCAATAGTAAATTAGCATCCGCCCTGCTTGCGCTCAGCCAATGGGGAGATGGCCATCGCAACCAATCAGCAGAAAGCACTGGGCCTCGCGTGTCGAATCAATTGCTGAGTCTGTCTCTGGGCCATCCAATCAGCTCCTGTGGAGCGCGCTTGGCCGGGGGCGGAGGCTCGCGGGAGAGTGAGGTTGTCCTTTGTCCCCAACTCCGATCCTGGACTTCCGTCCCGTCCCGTGGAGCAGCCGGAGCTGTAACCTGAGTGGCAGTTGCCCGAAGGGCTGGGCTCAACGGGGCCAAACCCATCCCCTTTCGGTTCATTCTGGCTCGTGGAGCCCCCAGGCGTTACAGAGTAGAACTGCACGCCATGAAGTTTTCTTGGACTGGTGTAGTGGGCTGTGCATGCAGATGCTGACCTCAAGGCCAGCAGTTCGAATCCACTAGAAGCTCTTCTGGAGAAAGCGAAAGTTGCCTGTTCCCATAAATATTTGAAGTCTCAGAAACCCAAATAATCCACTCTTTCCAACAGGGGCATATAGTCAGAGTTTGAGAAGTGGTGATTACTAGTCTCTTTTTGTCCAGCCCCAAGGGCCCGGTGGGGCATCGTGGTTACAATGGGCTGCTAACCACAAGGTCAGCCCTTCAGAACCACCAGCTGCTCCCCAGGAGAAAGACAGGGCTTTTTACTCCCCTAAAGGGTTGCAGTCTCGGAAACCCAGAGGGGCAGTTCTACCCTGTCCTAAGAGTTGGAATTGAGTTGAAGGCAGTGAGTTTGATCTGGGTGCTGTTTTTCTGTCCAGCCCAGGCCTCCTCCTAGACCTCCACCTCGACAGTCAGTCCAGGGGTCCTGGTGATTTCCTGGTAGGAGACAGGAGAAGCCCTGGTAGTACAATGGTTATACGTTGCGCTCCTAACCACAAGGTTGGCAGTTTGAAACCACCAGCCGCTCTGTGGGAGCGAGACGAGGCTTTCTACTCCCGGAAAGGTTTACAGTTTCAGAAACCCACAGTTCTGGCCTGCCCTTTGGGGTCACCATGGGTCAGAAGTGACTCGATGGCACCGAGGTTGAGCTCGGGAGAGACAGGTTTGATTCTTGGCCAGTGCACCTCATGCGCAACCCCCCACCGGCTACATGTCTGTGGAGGGCTGTCCGTGGATCACTGCTGCACTGGAACATCCAGCATAAGGCAGACCAGGGAGACCTGGCAATCAACTCCCCCAAATGAAACCCTGTGAGTCACATCTGTCCCTGGAGATGCTGTAGGAGGACTGGGCAGTGCTGGATTCTCCCTGGTGCCTGGGGGTGACCTCACAGGGGTCAACAACGACCCAGGCCAGATGCTGGCTGGTCATTTTCCCAGGGACCCCTGCCCCAATCATCAAAGCAGGAAAGACCCAGGTGCACCTTCTGGGACCCTGGTCTTCCCCTCCCTGGGCCTCAGACTTCCACCTCACCCTCCATGCCAGGCCACCATTCACCCTGCACCCAGAGGGGCCTTTCTGGAATGCAGATGTAACCACTTCCCTCCCCTGTACTAAAGCCATCCAGGGTTCCCCATTGCCCGTGGGAAATCACATCAAGATGAACCACTGGGGTGGCAGGGATCGATTCCCCGACCCGAAGTCGCTATCTGTTCTTTGCTGAGCGTGTAAAGTCCAGGTGCCGTCTGTCATTGCCTGGAACACACGATGAGCAGGCTTGGCTGCCACCTGCGAGTGTGGAGGCTCCAGGTTCACCCAGAGCCACCCCGGAAGAAAGGACTGGTGACTCACTTCTGAAAAGTCAGCCGCTGAGAACCCTGGGGGACCATTTGTACCCCACACGGCACCTACACACATGGCATTGCCAGCAGTGGGAAGTGGCCCCCTGGCGACTGATCTTACAAAGCCTCAGAAGCCTGTTGTGGTGCTGTGGTGGTGGTGGGTGCCCTGGAGTGAGCTCTGACCCCTAGCGACCTGATGTGCAGCAGCACGAAATGCCCCCTGGTCCTGCACCGTCCTCAGAACTGAGCCTCCATGCATGCAGCGTGCAGCCAAACCTGCTGATGGTGCGCACGCTTGTTTGTCCCTGTGTGTGAGCCCACAGTGGTAGCCAGGGTGTCCTTCCCATCGACCCTTCTGTAAGGAGATGTCCAGTTGTCTACAGATGGGCTTTGAGTCCCCAATCTGAACTCTCCCTCATTCACAGTATGATTTTTTGTTCTTTGATGCCTGATACCTCATCCCTTCAGCACCTTGTGATCACACAGGCTGGTGTGCTTCTTCCATATGGGCTTTGTTGCTTCTAAGCTGGATGGCCGCGTGTTTACCTTCAAGCCTTTAAGACCCTAGACGCTATGTCTTTTGATAACCAGGCACCATCAGCTTTCTTCACATTTGCTTGTGCACCCATTTGTCTTCAGCGATTGTACCAGGGAAGTGAGCACACCGTGATATGATGTTTTGTTCTTTGATGCCTAATCCCTTCGGCA